GCCACTGTCACGTACCGTGACATCAGACCTCATCAGAGCCCCGATGAGCTCAACATCAGCAATCTTTCAGTCCTGGACTCTTTTGAGTTCAACGGGTTTTTACGCGATGAAGGTCTACTGAGCGTTTCCCATTTATCTGCTGGCACCTTATCCACTTCGGTTCTCCTGCTCGCTGCCTTCCATCCTTCGGGCTCCTTCGGGCTCCGGAAATACCCGGGCTCCGTCGGCCTCCGAGCATACCCGGGCTCCCTCGGACCCCGTTGGAATTCAGCCTGCCGACTATGGTGATCTCGTTGGTTCTCATTGTTTCCCCATGTTCATTCCCCGTTATGCCTATCCTGACTCATTCCATCACGGGGGCCTCGGACCTCCGAATTCTCCGACACTGCTATGACTTTTCTGGCTCCATCATTATTTACTCTGATTTGTTATGACTCCACTCCCCTCGGAATCTTCGGTCCTCCGGAATCTCCACCACAGCTTTGACTCATATCATACAGCACTCGTACAGCTTTGACTCGTTTCCTTCACGGAGCCCCGAGGGCTCCGACCATTACGTAATAAACTACACTACAGTTAAATAGCTTCATGTATCTTCGTTCTAGTCAGTTTGAATATCGACTAAGACTTTCTTCCTTCCTATCGTCCTTTCCTCAGTTCCGTCTTTTCTCCGATTACTCTCCCTTCATCGGTCTCCGTCCTTTTCCGAACTTGGACACGGGTTGAAGATCCCATCGGCTCCGTTCGGCCCCGACGGCGATCCGGCTTTTTCTTGGACCTGCACAGTCACGTTTAGGACTTTGCATTATCCACGCGAAGTCCTATTTTGTGTAGTGTTCATTCGCCGCTTACATTCCCCCTGCCTTGACAGGACTCCTCAACTCCGATCGGTCCCGACGGTGATCCGGCTGCTCCTCGGATCCCCTCGGTCACATTTAAGACTCTGCATTGTTCACGCAAAACCCTACTTTGTGTAGCATTCACAATCCGCTCACATTTCTGTGTACCGACAACACTCATCGGCACCGTTCGGTCCCGACCAGGATTGCGATTGTCTTTGTCCTTACTGACAGGACGCACCGGCACCGATCGGTCCCGACCAGGTTTACAGTTCAATCTCGGTCCTTACCAATAGGACTCGTCGGCACCATCTGGTCCTGACTAGGATTGTGACTCAGTCTTCGTTCTTAACCTCTCTGTCTTCTTCCTCGGAAATCGGGCCTTGGGCATAGAGAAAGGCGCAGCGCACGAGCTGAAGCCAAGCCCGCTCTGACCCCCTCGGGCACCGAGCCGGAGCTCCGATCGGATGGGACTACATTTCATGAAGCTTCACTTTGTGAAAGTCCTATTCCACCCTATTCGTATTACACTTTGTGCGATAGGATTTCGGACCTCCTGCGGACCACCGATGTCCTTGCATATTCCCGCGCTCGGATATCTCGGACCTCCATCGGTTCCCGAGTCTGTCCCGGTACTTGACAGCCACCGCGACCGGGGGACTGATGCTGTGGGTTTTTCTTCCCAGTGCAGATGCGCTGGTCTGCATCGACGCGTGCTTTGCACAGAAGCGGAACACTAGGACTGTCGACTCGCCCAAAACTCACCCCACCACACACTTCGTCTACGAGGGACTGAGCGCACAAATGCAGGACTACGTAGATCGTGTGTGCGCGACGAAGCTGGCCCAAAATGAGCACATAAAGCGACAGTGGTGGAGGTCGAGGACAAAAGGGATGACTATGAGCACCCCGCCTTGCTTTTGCCACCCTCGGTGCTCAATGGGTGCAAGTCGTCGTTCAAAGCAGCGGACGAGAGACGCGAGAAGGCCAGCACACAGTTTTACGAGGACACCGCCCTCATGGCGCTTCTTTGCCGCCATGATCGTTTCCTGTGGCTGGTCAACATGCGTTGCGTGGGGGAGAAGCAGTTCTACATGTACCTCCTCATCGAAACCCTATTCCAGCATCTACCCCCAAACATAATGGTCGGCCTGCTATACAACGTGATGTGCCAATTAGAAAGATCCGCTCGCAAGTGGGGTTTTTTGGATCGCTACATCGATTGTCTGGCGTTTGCGGTAGCCGTCTTCCATGCGTTCGGCCACGAATGGGCTTGCCAAGTCCTTACCATCCTCGCAAGTGAGAGGGCTTCGGCTTTACAAACGGCAAGGGCTGCGAGCGCTTTTGGCACTCAATCAGCCACTTGATCGCACACTTGCGTATTTCGAGCATAAGTCGCCGTTGTGCTGGAGACACACCATATATTAATAGGGCATTCAGTACCATCACCGGCTTTATACACTAGACACCCAGATACAGCAGGCCGATGAGGCAAATCTGTTCAAGTTAGCGGAGTGGCTGCGGCAACAGACGCTGCACAGCGCGACAAAATGCCAGGAAGCTCAAGACGTGGTAGACGCGTGCAGCCACCCGCTGACGTTACTGTGAACGCAGTGGGCAAAGCAAGTGCGAGCTCAAACAAAACCTCAAGCCCGTGAGCAGCCTGGTTAGTATCGCTAAACGAGCGCTGACTGTTTCATTTTCAGGTTGGTCAAAAACGGCGGGCTAGAAAGCCGTAGCAGCCGTGCTCGCATCGCGGGATGCGGTCGCGATTCACAAGACCCAGGTCATGGAATGCGAGGCGGTCGTCTTGGATGCTATCGACGACAACAGTGGCAATGACATTGTGCACTGCAAAGTGGCCTTGGAAACGGCGCAGGCAGCACTCAAAAAAGCCAAAGAACGGCTGACGCGTCAAGAGCTCGCACTGGGCATTGGCAACAGAGCCGCGTTGACGAAGCTGGGCAAAAGCAAATATTTTGAGCTTCGCATGAATGCGCAAGCCCTCAAGACGCGACTCCGGGACCGTCTGCAGGCGAGGAAGTTTGGGCACGATTGAGTAGAATGATCATCCCGGCGCCAGCGAACTTCAGGTATGCCACCCAACATAACATTACCAGCCGCAGTTTGAGACTGACGTGTTCATGCCAGAGCGTAAGCTTTTGGCGCACACAGATTCAGCCATGAAGTGGTGCGCACCCCATATCTCACGCTTAAAGAACAACTACAACAAGCTGTGCGACGCGATCAGCCTGGAAATCAAACATAAACGCGCACCACGCGGGGGCTTGGCTCCTGAGCACATCGAAAGCAAGGCGCTGGATGTTGATGACGCGATTTGGCAGGATGTCAGTCTGCAAGATGAGGAGGAGCAAGAGGTTCCCCTCTGGCTGAGAAGTGACATGGTGCGGAGCGGGATACGGGCGATGCTGGACCTGGATCGGTCAAAAGAGGAAGACTGCCAGCTGGAGAAGGAGCGCGAGTCATTGCAGGTGTGGTTTGCGGAGGAATGGACAGTCGTTAATGAGGCGATGAGGCGAACAGGTGTGTTGGTTTATCTGCAACGCAAACAGACGGTTACTGACTAAGACGACTTAGCTGACGACGGGGACCGCTATCAGTTTTTCATATGGCGAGAGCGCCTCCTGCGCTTGTGCGGGACATGGTGCCAATATATGCCGATCGATGCACCGGGGGATACACCATGGGGCCTGAGTGACGAGGAGCTGCTGGCGTCGCTGCTGGAGAGTCGAAAAGCCGGACGCAGGGAGGATGCATATGACGCTGCTGAGGAGGAGACGGAGGAGGAATTCGAGACTTTGGATGCGATGGATACCGTGGGGGCCTACCAGGAGGTGTATGAGTCTTATGGGACCAACAGCGATGGCAACAACGATTCAGAATAACACTATTGACGTGCCTGTACGATGTTTCTTACTATCGACGTGTCTACTATGTTTCTTATTTTTTGGTGAAGCCGGATCGGGATGTGAGCGGTCTCCCCACACTCGATTGGGCTGACAATGGCAGGCCACCTAGAATAATTGCCGAATCGGACGACAATGGCGGACAGGCCACCATGAAAATTCTCGAGCACGATTGCCAGGCCACCGATCACTCCAGCAAATTATCGAGCAATCGCAATGACTATTACCGAAGTGGGAGAATGGAGGGTGGGTGGCATCGCACGGGGGGTATAAAGTAGTTACTGCTTCGTCTTAAACTGTACCGCTCCTGTCCCCACAACCCGTTTACCCATCGCCCAGATGTCTCCTCCTGCATCCAAAGCTCGCCGCTCCCGTAAAACCCTCCTGACCTTAACCCGCTCTAGATTCGATTATAAGCTGTCCTGCCGGCGTCGTCCTAATCAATCCCCGTCGCTAGCCGTGCCGAGCGCAGTGCCCGACTGCTATCGTGAGTGTTCTTGCCAAACCTTTCTGAGGTGACTCATCCCTTATTAATTGCCTAGCTTGCCATTATGATATTGGTTCTCAGTTCGACTACAACATTCTGCCCGGTTACATGGTCCCAGGCGTCTGGATGTCTGCACGGAGTTTATCGTGTTATTCCCAAATTTGTTCAAGTACATGTGCTGCCGGGGGCGCCTGTGCTGTACTCATATATATCCTATTAGCTGTCTCCCATGCCCAGTACGACGCCGCATCCACCGAGAGCTGCAGCGAAGGCTTTGAATGTTTCTGGAATTGAACGGCATTTCCCGCAGGTACCCTCCCTGCCCCAAGTGTTGAAGATTTGCTGACTTGTTTGGTTGCAGGAGTTGCCACTTACATACTGTTTTGTGATTTACGATGTTAGCTTTACATTTCATTTATGACACAATTGCTTCATTTCATTTATGACACAATTGCTTATTGTCTCTTTTTGTTTGCAGGTGGGAATTTATTGCTATTTGCGTGCACTTTGCGTGTGATCTATCATTTAACTTTTTTTATTTCTAGAACGGCGACTTGTGAGCACAACTTCCTTTTCGGGAAGCGATGGGTTGTTTGTGCATGTGTGGCAGACAGCGAGATTGTTAAGTTAGTGAAAAGATTTTGAGAAATGAGGTGCTGAGGACGAGCGATAAACATCGGCGGGAGATAAAGTGAGAACAGTGATGAATACCAAAAAGAAAAACGACTTATACAAAAGGAAATAAAATGACCTCAATGAGGTTCGAACCTATGCCAGCAGCATAATCCATTTTATACAAGGCACTAAATGTAGCTGGTGCTACAACCACTAAGCCATACAGCCATATGTAGGGAGTCAATATTACAAAAAACATTAACCCAAGATAAGTCATAAAACCAGGCCACCAACGCACCACATACAAACAACCGCTACCATCTCAAAGAGGCAATTCTGGTTTAAACAATCCTAGAAAACATGTAAGTCTCTAAAAAACAAATAAGTCTCCCAAAAACAAATAACATATGTATATTTGCAAAAAATGTAGTACTCATAAAAAATTGTATTTCATAAAAAAAATACACTAAGTTGGATGAGTTAATGGGGTCAACATGGGAGCACCCGGTCAACCAATAAAATCACTGGGAGTTCCCGTACATTGCTGAAGGGGGGCTGGGTGCTCCCGCCCACATGTGGAGTGTGGGCGGGAGCCCCCACATGTATGTGGAGTGTGGGCGGGAGCTCTCGCATGTATGTGGAGTGTCACCGGGGGCAAAAGCCGATGCATGTCTTTTGACATGCGTCAAGCGCATGTCATTCACAGGTGCCATCAGTACCCAACAAAAGGGCCAATAATCTCTGTGGCACCTTTGTTTTTGGGCCCAGTTCAAGCCCAAAAACAAAGGTGCCAAAGAGATGATTGGCCCTTTTGTCGGGTGCTGATAATACCTGCAATGACTTGCGCTTGACGCATGTCAAAATGACATGTGTCGGCTTTTGCCCCCGGTGTGTGGGCGGGTACTCCCAGTGCATATAGTGATTAGATGGGAGCTCCCAGGGGATATATAGCCCAGGGTGGGAGCTCCCAGAGCCTTGAGGCGGGAGCTCCCATGCTGTTCAGGGCAGGAGTGCCCCATGTGTGGTGGGGTCTCTCGCTGAAGGTATCTGGGAGGCCCCACCAATGTAGCTGGGAGGTCCCACCCTTGTAGCTGGGAGCTTCCCGGGCAGGTGGACGGGGCCTCCCGCCAAACTGATAAATAACAGCTGGGAGCATCCAGGAGCACATAAACCCTGTCCAATGGAAGCTCCCACCCGAGTAAGAAATATATAAGGGACAGTGCCATAAGGACTCTACAGAATGACCCGTAACAGCAAATTGGAAGCATCTAAACATGAAGGACAGTACATGGAGTTAAACAGATTGAACATGTCCATCCATAGTAAAGTAAAGAAGGAATATACATGTTGAAGCATATATATGGTGGGATGGCTGGTCGCTCCAAACTTCGCGGACAGTACATGGAATTGAACAGATTGGACATTAGAATACAATGTTCATTCAGACTAACATAAAGAGGGAGTATACATGTTGTTAAAGCACATATATGGTGGGATGGCTGATCACAAGCACCGACAGGTGGAGCAGTGGGTTGAATAGATCCTACCATAGCCAGAGAGCTGGAAATCTGAAATTGCTGCAATAAATTTCCCTGGCAGGAGCTAGTGGGGGGAGCCATGGATACTAGAAATAAAATGAGAGAGCCCCAACCTTAGGTGCTTTTACAGCCCCCCAGGGAGCAGCAAACAGTGCCTGCAGAGCCCGAAAATCGCGAAAAAATCTCCCCTGCAGGGGGCTGCCTACTGAGGCTCTATCAACAGCATAGTGCACCTAGGATCAGTAGGAATAAATTCAGAGAGGCTCCTTACAAGGTACCCCCCAGGGAGCAGCAAATGCGCTGCATGGAGGCCCAAAATCGCGGAAAAAAAATCCCCCCTGCGGGGGGCGGACAGTCATTATATTTAGGGCCCACCCAGGTGCAATTTGAACAGCCAAGTGTCGAGTTGCACATAGGTGGACCTGAAATTTAATTTACTTCTAGTACTTTTGGTCCCACTGATTTTGTAACCTAAAATAGTAGAAAAAAATTATGATTCAGCTGCCATGAAACCCATTCGAAAGCCTACAATTTAGATTACACAAAAGTCCAACTGAGATTGAAAACCGAAATCACACTGATGATTATCATATTTTGGGATAAGACTCAGGATAAATTAAACTCAGCACGGTCCTGTTGCCGGAACATGCCGAGGTGTAGTCTACAGTACAATGTACCGTTACTACGCCATAACCCACTCCCCTTCGACAAGCTCACCTTTCTCCAGGGGCAGATCTCTGGTTCATGTGAAATGGCAAGAGAATGAATTAAAAACAAATCTACACTATGTCAGGCCAAACCATTGGTTCAGCATTGACAATCGCAAATGCCTTGTAGACAAATTTGCGACCCGGCCGACGGTATCTCTGCGGAATATCAAAGCTTTCAGAATGCTAGTCACATTCCAAGACTCCACTCTAGCAACTCTCGGCTCTATACTGTACATTAATTGAAAAAATGCAGCCCTGCATTCCATCAACTTGGTTGATCTATTGCAGAAGAACAGGACGGGCTCCACGGTTTCAAAACTGTTACAACCAAAACGGCATAGACGGGTCATCTCGGGGTACATGGATCTCGGGGTACATGGACCTGCTTGTACCGCATCTGCTCCACTGCCAGAGGGTGCTGGCTCACAAGAAGATGTGTAGTGCCTTACAATAGGGTTGTTCACAGTTCCCTTTTTTCTTCCCTTTTTTTCTCCCTTTTTTCCTGGATCTCGAGTTTGGCTCGGTTTTTGGCCGGGATTTTTTCCCTTTTCAACTCAGAGGTGTAAAAAGGGTTGAAAAGGGGAAAAAAACTGAGCAAAAGCTCAAACAGGATGAAATGGCAGAAAAAAGGGAGAGAAAAAGGGAAGAAAAAGGGACGGAAAAAGGGAACTGTGAAACCCCCGGTCTACGACTCCCTTTTTCCGGCCCTTTTTGCTCTCCTTTTTCCTTCTCAAGTACTTAGATTGGGTGTAGCGTGGCATGACTTCCAAGTTGACACCCATACTACAGTGGCACAAGTGCTCGGAACAGAGCGATCAGATGATCAATTACATAACACTGATTATCACTGTCCTTGTATTTTTCTCCGCCTCTGTGCTCGAGCTTTCCAGTCATCCATAGGACCCCGGGCAGAAATTCTCGAAAATCATCATCGTCAAAGAGAGAATCCTTAACATCCTGCTGCAGTGTTTCGAATAGAAGAGGGCAGCAACTACGAAAGAGGGAGCCAAAAGGGCACAAAAAGGGAAGAAAAAAGGGAGCGAAAAAGGGAAACAAAAAGGGAACTGTGAACGACCTTAATGTTTTGCATTGGAAACCAGAACCAGATAGTGACGAAGGACAACAAGTAATTCTTCGCTGGTTCATTCTCGAGTGGTTCCCGCCGTCTGTGTAACATGTATAAGCAGGTGGACTTAGACACCTCCGCATTCAAGAATTTTATGGCAGCAATGTACACTGATTTGTGCAGTATTGTACAATGTTCTGGTGTTAGATCAGGCAGTGGAGGGAGCGATACTGGAAAGGGAAATTTTTGCAAGGCATAGGTGATGTCAATCCAGTACCCTTGTTGACCCTTCATAAACAGGTCATAGGAGTCGTGCAGCGTAATGTGTGCATAGTGGGTTTCCGCCAGCTTAACAAGATATCCAAGGTAGCGCAGAGCGAGGATTAGTCACCGGTAGCATAAGGGAATTAGACCAAGCTCAGTGAATAGTGGTGCGTGCATAGAATTATGGGCTCTAGCCTGTTAACGAGATGAACATCTTGACGGGAGCAGCCCGTTCTTAGTGAAAGGGAACAGCACAGTATTTGGGAGTAGCCCATCTGCGCAGTTTGGGCCCTAGCCCATTAGAAGAACGGTGGGAGCGGCCTGTTCTCAGCACGATATTCGGGAATAGCCCATTGGTGCTGTTTTGGGTCCCGACCCATTCGAAAAACAAATCCCGGCGGGAGCAGCCCGTTCTCAACAAGCTAAGTGTTAGAGCATGACGCTGTTATGACGCTGCCAAGCACGTTAAAAATGATCAATCCCAATTAGGGACGATCGGCGACTCCGAGTCATTGCCAAGCAAGTGACCGGAAAAGCATTCAGCCCGTGGGGGGGACTCGGACTCGGAGGAGTGTTTAGGAAGGCCAGTGGCAAAGGAATCAAGGGCAACGAGGCCCTTCCACCGACTGCCGGCGCCAGGAGCTGCACCGCGGGGATGTGTGGGGAGGTATGGGGGAGGTCCATGATCAAGGGGATGCTGATCGGTGAATATTGGTATGCCGGTGGGAACGACGACGATGACGACCACGACCATGACTCTCAGATGGCTTTAAGCTCGACCCAGTGTGATAGAACACTATGTGAGAGGGTAAGGGAACAGTAACGAGGCTCCGACGGCACTCATTAGCCAAAAACTAGGTTTTACGGCTTTTGATGATGGTGGTAAGAGTGTATCGGGTCCCTTGTGGGTGACCTAAAACTTTATTTGAAACCAATCCGAGAAATTTCCCATTGGTTCGGCATTTCCTGGACCAATGGGAAAATTTGCGGACTCATTTCGAATAAAGTTTCAGCTCACCCAAAATATGATAATAGGGGCAGTCAGAGTAGAGGATTATGGAGGGATTAAAGGAAGGATTGGATTTAAATAAAAGCCATAATCACACATAATCCTCGCATAATCGCATTCAATTCTGACTTGTAATCATGCTGCTTACTAACATAGATACAAACACGGACACACGAGTTACTCTCTCTCTTCTTCTACCACGACTTGTACGCTAGCTACGATCTATAACGCCGACTCTCTGTAAAGGGTCTAAAATCTCTCTGTGTGATTCCTTCCTCGTCTTTCCAAGCCTCTTCTCTGGTAGTCTGGTGAGCAGACTTCCATTTTTTTTTTTTTTCTGCCCTTTTTCCCCCTCCACCCCACTTTGCCTGCGACAGCCGACCACCCGCTCAGCGCTGAATGCTCGCTACACCCCCACACCACCCCACATCTCGCCGAGGCGGCCTGAGCTTGCTCAGAGCTACCAGCCCCGCGCGCCACCCACCCACACACACCCACATCCGTTGGAGTACGCGCGTACCTACGCTGCCCTCCTAGGATCCTTCTCGAAACCACCCCACCTCTCCCCACATCCCATCCAAACCCTTGGAAGGCCGATTCTGACCCTCCACACCTCAGCGTCTCACCGGAAACGCGCCACG